TAACCACCTAGAAACCGATATCCATTTCAAGCCCACCGAATCCCAAAGCTACCTAGAATACACCTCCTCCCACCCACCTTCCTGCAAAAATGCCATCCCCTATTCCCTATTCCCAATTCCCAATTCCTTCGCCTCCGCCGCATCTGGTCCCAGGATGAGGCATTCCACTCCCGGACATTCCAGACGTCCTTGTTTTTCAAGGATTGCAACTTCCCCTCTACAGTGGTTGAGAACGCCCTCGACCGTGTCTCCTGCATTTCCCGCAACTCATCCCTCACACCCCCTCCCCGCAATAACAACCAAAACAGAATCCTCCTCGTCCTCACGTACCACCCCACCAACCTCCGGATCCAACGCATCATCCTCCAACACTTCCGTCATCTGCAATCCGACCCCACCACCAAAGACATTTTTCCCTCCCCACCCTTGTCTGCTTTTCGGAGGGACCACTCTCTCCATGACTCCCTTGTCCGCTCCACACTCCTCTCCAGCCCCACCACCCCCGGCACTTTTCCCTGCAACCGCAGGAAGTGCTACACCTGCCCCTGCACCTCCCCCCTCACTCCCATCCTAGGCCCCAAGAAGACTTTCCACATCAAGCAGATGTTCACCTGCACATCTGCTAATGTGGTATACTGTATCCGCTGTTCCTGTTGTGGCCTCCTCTGCATTGGGGAAACCAAGCGGAGGCTTGGGGACCGCTTTGCCGAACACCTACGCTCGGTTCGCAATAAACAACTGCACCCCCCAGTCGCAAACCATTTCAACTCCCCCTCCCATTCCTCAGACGACATGTCCACCCTGGGCCTCCTGCAGTGCCATAATGATGCCACCCGAAGGTTGCAGGAACAGCACCTCATATGTCGCTTGGGAACCCTGCAGCCTAATGGTATCAACGTGGACTTCACAAGCTTCAAAATCTCCCCGCCCCAACCGCATCCCAAAACCAGCCCAGCTCGTCCCCGCCAACCTAACCTGTCTGTCTTTTCTCCTACCTATCCCCTCCTCCCACTTCAGCCCCCAGCCCCACCTCCTACCTACCAGCCTCATCCCCACCTCCTTGACCTGTCCGTCTTCCCTGGACTGACCAATCCCCACCCTAACTCTCCACCTATGCTCACCTTTACTGGCTCCATACTTGCCTCCTTCACTTGTCAGTCTCCTCTCCACCTATCTGCTCCTTTATGCATCTTCCATCCGCCTCGCCCTCTCTCTCTATTTATTTCAGAATCCCCTTTCCCTCCCCCATTTCTGAAGAAGGGTCCAGACCCGAAACGTCAGCTTTCCAGCTCCTCTGATGCTGCTTGGCCTGCTGTGTTCATCCAGCTCTACACCTTGTTATCTCAAAATATACATCAGGGTTTATTTCTAGAGGGATATAGCTAAAAGAAGTTATGTTAAACTTGTACTGAACCTTGAGACGACACTTAAGACTAATGTGCAAAATGCTGGTTGTCATATTAAAGGGTTGAATGCATTGGAGAGGACAAAAACTAGTTTTATACAGATAATAACCTCAGCACTGGGTTTACGACCATCAAAAAAAAGCAAACAACCCTGATCACCTTCCTCCTGAAGAGAGAAGGCCAAGGGACGACCTAATAGAAAGCTTCAAAATTATGCAAAAGTTAGGTGAGATTTCATGCAGAAAGTTTCTGCTCAAGAGGATGCTACCAGTAAAGTATGTCATCAATAATTAAAATAAACAAGGAATTCAGGTGCAAGTTCTTTACCCATACAATGGTGAGAAAGTAGAATGCACAACCACGCAAAATGATTGAGGCAAATAGTACAGATGTATTTTAAGGGGAGACTACATAAGTATATGAGTAAGAAGGTACAGAGGATATTCTGATGGGATTAAATGAGGACAGATAAGAGGAGGCTCAAGTGGATCTTAATCATCAGCATGGACCAATTGGGCCAAATAGTCTGTTTCTGTGCTAAAGCTGTTGGTGGGGAAATCCCGAAAAATAATCCAAGACAGAACTGTCAAATGGCAAACTAAGTTAATAAATGGCATTTTTAACCTGGATTTGGTGAAGTGAAACCATGTTTGAATTACTTGACTGAATTCTCTAACAAAGAGAGGATTACTGACAGTAATATAGTTGCTACGAATATGGACTTTCAAAGAGATTATGATAATGGATCACATAATGGACATTTAGTAAAGATAAAGCGCATGGGAATAAGGGGATATTGACAGCATTGATGATGCTGGCAAAGAGACAGAAATCAGAGAATAGCAGTGAACAGACATGAAAATTGCAAGAAAATATGCAGTGATATCCCAGGATTTTGTAATACGTCCACTGTTCTTTCTGATTTGTATTGGTGGTTTGGTCATGGTTATACAGGGCATAATTTGAAGAGTTACGTGCAAAATTCTGGTTGTCATATTAAAAGATTTGGATGCACTGGAGAGGACAAAACATGCTTTACAAAAATACAGAACTTGGAAATACAGTAAACAGTTGAAAAGGCAATGAAGACTTCAGGAGAAAACAGTTGAACGGAGCAGGTGCAGTGTAAGTGATACATTCTGGGATGAACAATGGCAGACAACAGAGTTTAAATGGTACAATCTGAAGCAGTGCAGGATGGCAAAGGTTCTCCGATCACAAATCGCTGAAGGTGGCAGGACAAATTGAGGAGACCATTCAAACAGTATATGCAATGCTTGGCTTTATAAACAGAGGTTTTAGGTTCAAAAGCAAGCAATTTATATTAAGCCTTTGTAAGTTGCTGAATCAGCTCCAGCTAGAGTATTATGCTCAACTCTGAGCACCTTGCTTTAGGGAAAGATGACACAGCCTTCAACATGCTGTAGTGGTTTTACTAGAATAGCATCAGGGACATGGGCCTCCTGGAGTGGTTGTTCTTCCAGGAAGGAAGGTTAGGAGAGATTGAATAAAAATGTTCAAAACCACAAGGGCTTTGATAGAGTAAAGAAGAAGAAACTGTTTCAATAATCCAAGAAACAGCTTCAAGGTCAGTTATAAAATGATGAACAAAAACAAAGTTGCTGGAAAAGCTCAGCAGGTCTGGCAGCATCTGTGAAGGCAAAAACAGAGTTAACGTTTCGGGTCCAGTGACCCTT